CATTAGTTCTAAAAATTTTATCAACAATAGACAGGTTTGCCCCTATTATAAATAAAACTGTCTGTGTATACCCTTCTCAGAAATACGTGTCAAGTGCAACAAAAGACTTGATAAAACAAAGAGACCTTCTCTACAAAGTGCACCGAATCAACCCAAACCAACAGAGCTACAAGGAGTTAAACCAACTAAAGAAAAAGGTTGATTCTGCTATCTACATGGACACAAAATTAGAATTCTCAAGAAAGGTCGAGTCTCTGCATCTTTGGGGTGCACTGCATAAACTTTACCCATTACTCGAGCCAACTCCAGTTATCAAAATAAGCCCTGATGACATCAACAAGTTCTTTGTGGCAGTGTCAACTAGAGTGGAGTCAACCTTGTTGCCAGACCTTCCTGTGAAACCGAACTTTCCCTGGGACAATGCCATGAAGAAATTCCAATTCAAAGAATTGACCGTGACTGACATGGAAAAGTGCTGGAGAAGGATGAAAAATAGGACTTCAGCTTCGTGTGACACCCTGGGTCTATGCAACAAAATGTTAAATATTTGTATGCTATCTGTCAATTTCAGAATTCAGCTTACAAAATTGCTGAACCTATTCATTACATCCAATCACCTTCCATCAATACTGAAGTTGTCCAAAGTCATCCCCATTCCCAAAACCAAGAAAGTTACCTCGCCGAATGACCTCAGGCCAATTTCAATTCAACCCGTCCTCGCTAAATTACTCGGAAAATGTATGTTTGATCAACTATATGCTTATCTTGAATCCAACAAAAATGTTATCTGAATTCCAATTTGGATTCCGAAAATTCCACTCTACCTCGCATGCACTTATTGCTAGAACCGATTTTATTTATGAGTCCCTTAATAATGATCTAGTATGTATTTTGGTTAGTTTGGATTTAAAGAAGGCTTTTGATTTAACCTGCAAAGATGTCCTTATACAGTAAGCAAAAGAATAGATCGTACCTTTGCGTATTTTTAATTGCGATATGATCCCGTACAGTTAGAGATTTGAAACTTGGCACACAATTGTATTAACTCATTGGCGACTAATTCCGCGTCGCCGATTTTTAAGGTCACCGACAGGTCAAAGGTCAAAAGTTTTTTGGCACTTCAAAATGAGAGGCGAAATTTGAAACTCCCTGGATAATTTTTTTTGGAGTTTCCAATATTTTTTATAGGATGCGCCAAGGCCTTACGAAGAAAATGAGCTATCATACGACCGTGTACGATTTTTTTGACGCCCACAGGAATTTTTCGCCAAAAAAGTTTTTAGGGTCTAAAATCGTGACCGCGCCGAAATTCAAATAATTGAAATATACAAAAGCATACACACATCATTTATATGCGTTTTTATATTTCAATTATTTTAATTTCGGCGCGGTCACGATTTTAGACCCTAAAAACTTTTTTGGCGAAAAATTCCTGTGGGCGTCAAAAAAATCTTACACGGTCGTATGATAGCTCATTTTCTTCGTAAGGCCTTGGCGCATCCTATAAAAAATATTGGAAACTCCAAAAAAAATTATCCAGGGAGTTTCAAATTTCGCCTCTCATTTTGAAGTGCCAAAAAAATTTTGACCTTTGACCTGTCGGTGACCTTAAAAATCGGCGACGCGGAATTAGTCGCCAATGAGTTAATACAATTGTGTGCCAAGTTTCAAATCTCTAACTGTACGGGATCATATCGCAATTAAAAATACGCAAAGGTACGATCTATTCTTTTGCTTACTGTACATAAACTTAAATGGTATGGTGTAAACTCGAAATTAATTGAATCATTTTTAAGTGAAAGAAAGCAACATGTATGCGTTGGTTGTAAAAATACAGCTATATCTTCGACATTATCAACAAATTTGGGAGTTCCACAAGGCCTATGTTTAAGTTGTCTCTTATTTTTAATTATGATGAATGATTTACCTTATCAAATACAGAACTGTCTTAGTATATTATTTGCTGATGATAGTGGCGTGATAATTTCTGGAAAAATTGATGTAATTTCAATGGTAATCAATAAATTAGAAAGCGATTTAATCCGTATTTCTAATTGGATGCATGCAAACCGACAACAGCTTAATGTTGATAAAAGTGTTGTAATGGTAATTAGCAATAAGAAGTACAAACACTCATTGGAAGGAATTAATGTCAAAATCAATGGCTCTTTATTAAAAAGGGTAAATTCAATCAAAATTCTTGGTGTAGTAATTGATGATGAGCTTAATTTTGATGAGCAGTGCAAAATTGTGTCTAGAAAATGTTTCAGCTCTCTTTGGACACTTCGTCCTCTTAAATACATTTTAAGTCAAAAGCAAAAGATAATTGTTGTTCAAGCACTAGTTCACTCACTCTTTACGTATGGATGTGTTGTATGGTTAATTGGTAAGAAAAACATTAACTGTGTTGAGAAAATCATTCGTGCATGTGCAAGGTTTATCTCGTGTAAATTTAAATATGATTCCATTTCAGATGACATTAATGAGTATGGATGGCTGTGTGCTAAAAATATTGTAAATTTTGAAGTATCCAAATTGTCATATAAAATTTTAAATGAATGTTCCCCTACCTATTTCAATAGATATTTAAATATCCAAAATGTTGCTACCATATGTACTAGAAGAGGTATGTATGCGAATCCACTTTTAAATGCTAAAACTGCAAATGGTAAGAAATCTTTTCGATACAGAGCAACTAAAGTGTGGTCAACCTTTCCTGAACATATAACTTCTAATATTACGAAAACTAGCTTTACGATGTTCAAGAAACAAATCAAATGTTATTTACTACAAAAGCAAATCACAAATAGAATGGTTGAAATATTTGCAATGATTGATGATTATGAATTTGAGAATATATTAAATGTAAACTAATGTAATTTTTGCCTTAAGATGTAACGTCCTGCCTAGCAGGGTATCTTATTGTATTAATAAATCTAAATCTAAATCTATGGAGAAGTTATTCTGTTAAAAGTTACAAACTGTAAATTTCCAACCTTTTTTGAAACTTGAAAAAATCAACATAGCAAACAATTTAGAAATATGCGATAAAAGAGCAGAATGGTCATTTGATCTTATTTTCATGAAAGTGTGAATTAAAATTTTTGAAATTACCGCTAAGTTTGTTGCAAGAATAAAAAGAATGGGGGTATTCAGTTCGCAAGGTTAGCAGCGTCCGCAAAAAAATAAAGTTCGCAAAATATTTTGGCTGGAAAATTCATTTGCGAACTTGCGCATGTCCAAGGCTAGTTTTTAGTTCGCAAAATATTGTTCACTCATATGCAGAATTTTTCAATGGAAAAATTCCATAAATCCTCATTGGTTACCGAAGTTTTGCCTTTTGAATTTTTTAAAAATTTTTATTTCAGCATTAGAGAAAATTTTACGAACTTTTTCATTTGAGTAAGAATTATTCGATTCAATAACCTGACCCGCCACTAATTTTGGAATTTGATGTATTGTAAAATGTTACCATAGTCAGTGTGTGATGATTAAACGAAATTTTTGGCGGGGGAATTACCCTGGGGGGCCATACAGAGATATAATATGGAATTCACTAGGATGCAGATTTCTCAAGAACGGGTGGATGGAAGTGTTAGATTTTTTTGCGTTGGGACCTATATTCCAATACCTCGACCCCTTTGAAGTGTTTTTCCGAAATTCGAATTATGAAGTCCGGAAACAAAGAAAATGAATCGATGAAATCGAAATAATAATTTCTCAGAATTTACGAATTTTCGATATTGCTTTCCAAACTAAATTTCAAAATTAGTGGCGGATCTCGTTGTTGAATCGAATAATTCTTACTCTTTTGCGAAGTGTCTTCACTTCGTTGCTTCGCAAAATTCGCAATTTCGAAAAAATTATGTTACGACGTGAACTAGTGAACTCGTAATGAATACCCTCAATATCTAAGAAACCTCTTTTTACGCTTTATAAAAGAAGTGGACCTTTTAAATTTTGTTTGAGTTGAAAAAACGAAAATTTAGAAGACTTTCCAGATTTTCACGATTTCCAAAATAAAAGCGGCAAATCACTGTTTGCATATTCATAATTAGAATGAAATTACGGGAAGCTAAGTTTACTTCTTAACGTTTTATCATTCGAACGGCAGTGTTAAGTTCAAAAAAGCGTAGGACAAGTTACACATTTTACTACAAATAATTCGCCAAATAATTCCCTAAAACGTGATTTTTGGACAACATGTTCTATGTCATAGTTTCTATATCAGTTTTTGATTTTTGAAAATGTAAACTGCAAGGAAAAAAACTACATAAAAATTTGGGTGTGGAAGAAAAACTGCATGGAAAGCCAACAAAAAACGGGAAAATTCGACCTTAATCTCGAGAAATAAGATAATCGCTTGTTATTAATACATAAGTTCACATTTGTACTTTTAATTGGTGACCTAATTTTCACTTTTTATTTTTTTAAATTTTATTTCCTTATTTTATTTCATTTAATTTTTTTTATTTTCCGGGCCCTGGGGGGGGGCTCAAGCCCCCCTAGCCCCCCCTTGCCTACGCCACTGTTACTGACCCTATGTGCAGTTCTTGCTAAAGTGCTGGCATCATCTTTCTTGCTTATTGCGTTGTAACGATTTATTTATTTAATTCCAGCAACTTGACTTGTATCACACCCCACTCGACATGATTGACATTAAATTAATTGATTTCCTCACTCTGAAATGATCACACACAAGCACGTCGTAATCTCGTGCTTGTGTATTTTTATAAGTTGAATAACAATGCCGTATATTTAATTTGCAATTGAGAAAATCCCCAAAGAAGATAACAGAGTTATTTTTTGCACACGGATCCATTTATCATTTCACCATATCATTTATTTCTATTTGTGGCAACGTTCATCTGACTCCCCCGTGAACAACGTATGCATATATTTCTTGTTGTAGTGAAAAGTTTAATTAAATTGGACACGTACGTACAACACTTGACAATCCTGTGAGATTAAACCAACTCGATATAAAAGAGCTGTCCGCCTCTGAGGAGAGAATACACATACCGACTTCCAATTATGCGTCTCCTAATAACCGCAGCTATATTGACCCTGTGGGTAGGCTTGGTGCAATCCCACGGCTACCTAAAAGACCCCATCGCCCGGACTTCAATACAACTCCGAGAAGCCGAATTCAACACGCAACAACCCTACTGGTGGGACAATCAAGGGGTTTGGTGCGGAAATGTGAAACAGTCCCCCAACTATGAGACATGTGGGCGTTGCGGGGATGCCCCCGGGGAGACATTGGCTAATCAGAATGGAATCTACGATAAGAAGGTCATCGTAGCAACATACACGGCTGGATCTGTAAGTAGAAAACTTGAACTAGATCGCTTCAGCGTGTCTGACCTGACTCGTGTTCTGCGCCATTATCTAGATAATTGAGGTAAAAAGCGAATACCAGGCCCCGCATGGTGGACAGTACTCTTTGGAACTTTGCCCACAAGAAACTGAAACTGACAATTGCTTCGTCCCTTTGACAATTTTGGGAGGGACGGATCAAGTCTTGAATAACACCATGTGTGTTACAAACGAATACGAAGAGCTCACTGCCCGAGTTCAACTTCCCCAAGGGGTTAGATGCGAAAGGTGCACGGTAAGATGGACCTACAGGACTTATTACAATTCAGATCCTTGGGACCCAGGTATGAAATTTCGCAACACTTTGCTATATGTATGAAAACGATGTTTCTAAAAACACTTATTTTCTTTAGCCTGGGAAATATGCTGGCTTAATCCTGCTCCGACACAAATCTTTAGAAATTGTGCCGACGTGAGGATTATTTAAAGATAAATTTGTTCTTGACATTGGTTTATTGTTGAAATTTCAAAATGTAGTAAATAAAATATTGATGCAAATAAATTCAAATGTATCTGTAATTAGATGTACTCGTATCAAGCAGTCCGCGCAAGTAGATATATATGTACTGTGTTTCAGTACCCTCACACATTCTATTATAACGGTACAATGTCGTTTTTGGACATTCCTTCAAATTGAAGTGCCGCCAGGTCACATTAGAATTACACGCCGCGACGTTTTTGTATAATTGCAAAACTCGATTTGCTAGTCCTTCACTTTCACACGGATTATTTTTCAATTTTGCAATTGTTATACAAAAAGTTTTATACGTCCTTCTTCCCCGTAACAAGGGCTTTAAAAATTAGTAAAAATAAACACCAATGTCAAACTATCCGAGGAGTAAATTCAAAGCGCAGTGCCAGTTATAGCCGTATAAACAATGCAAAGGGCTCCCTCGAACTTTACTCCCACTTAGTTAAGTTTAAGTTAAGGGTAGCCAGTCACTTAGACTTAAATCATATAAACAGTGCATTCTCTACTTAACCTCCACTAAGTTTAGGTTAAGTGTGCACCACCACTTAACTTACACTTCAGTCAGCTGCTCAATAAAGGTAAACAAAGTGTACCGTAGTTTTGCTGCAATTAATTTATAAAATTTCCGACACCGAAACTTCTCTCTGTCAACAAAATGTCAAGAGTCGCTCCAAATCGTACTCTTATGACGAGGTCACGGTTTTGACCAACCTGGTGAACAAATATAAGGACATTACTGAATCAAAACTGATTTTATGTCCGTTGATAGAAAGAAGAAAGTCTGGTCATCGATTGGGTTAGAATTTGTGATCACGGAGGAAGCAACATGGCTGCTGAACAATTACCAAACAAATGGGAGAGCATTGCAATGTACTACATTTTTTCATATTACATAAATGGATTTACGATTAAAAATTGATCAGCGCCCACAGAAAAGCAGTTCGCAAGACAGGAGGGGAAACAATGCCGCAATCCTTATTGACCGAGAACGTTGCTGCGATACTCCCAGGTCAAATGACTAGTCTGGATAATGAGTTTGATTGTGACGGTTATGCTCAAAACGTCAGGGACAATGATTGTAAGCAATAAAATGAGTAGGAAGCTTGTAAAATGGTGACGAAGACAGTAATTTATAACATAATTATTTTATTTTAGTATAAACTGATATCAATGACTTTCACCCAGACCTCAACATCGTCATTTATTAGCGCATAAAGTTGAAAGCGAGTCAAAACTTTTAATGCTGCTCACCTTAACAAATAAAACTTTTGCAAAATTATTGAAGAACAAGCAAAGAGGAGACGAACTGATCCCAGAACAAATCTGCATAATAGTTTATGATTTAAATAATTTACTAAAAGCACCCATTATTCTGCAAACTGCAATAATTACTTAATTAGTTGAATTATAAAAATTTATCGAATTTAAAAAATTCACTCACCCAACACCAAAACATCTAAGTTACTTTAATTTATTTAGAACTACTCCAAAAACCTTACCGGATTTAAACTTACTCAATAAGAACAAATTATTTTAAAAATTGTGCCACATGGCATTCATATCACTCTCGTAACCTCTGCAAAATAAAATTCAGCTTAAACTAACAAAGTTTACGACAGTTACGTTGTTTACAACGGTGACGTGAATACCCCTATTACAAATTTTGTACAATATAAAAATTAATTTACTAAACCCAAAACTCCAAAACTTTGTCCATCTTTTCCATACTCATTCAAGTAGCGCTTTAAAACCAGATTTTTTTAAAATCTTACAACTTTACACAATCATACATACATTTATTATTTCGTATACTTCTATGTCCAACATAACAACATAATATAATTCGGTTAATTATCGAGTCGTTACTGTACGGAGTTACTAATGCTTCACCATACTTGTGAGAAATTGTTGCAAAATCTGAACAAGTATTTCCAGTTAATTCAAATAAATCACTCTCCGATGAGGAAATTTACGAAGAGCGGTGACAAACTGAATTTCCTAGAAATTATTGTTACCATTCAGCAACAATTTCTATCCAGCGGGGTAGAGCATTATACATAGTAACTCTGCAAGGGGGGTAAATTTTTTTGAGTCCTTAATTTTGGTTACACTCAAAATAATTTTATTACGAATTGTTACCATGCGGAGTGACTTTGATGCTCTACCGCGCTTGGTTAAAATTTGTGACAGAATGGTAACAAGAATTTCCACTAAATTCAAATTCGTTACTGCTCGGTTTCAATTTTCTTACTGGAAAAGTGTAGGTTCTGGTTTAACCTGATAGGTCAGAGTCTTAAAGCCCAATAATAGTACTTCCTGTTTTATTTAAAACACACACAAGATTACTATTACACTGGGTGTACTCATGTCAAAATTTTATGTCGCATGGTACACAATTTTGCCAAAAATTTATTTTTTTTAATTGTGAAAAAAAAACGAAAAATTTGCAAAGCTTCGTAAACCCATTTTCTATGGGAAACTTTGCGAAATTTCGCAAGCTTCGAAAGTTACATATGTTGAGATGCGATGTATGCGACGGTGACGTGAGTACGCCCAATATTTCACACTACTTATTGATCTTATTTTCATGTAAAATTAATTAATTCTTGCCTAGTTTTACAAACGGAGTCGAAATATTTCAGAATTTGTTAATAATAAATTTTGTAATTTTTTTTACCCACACAAAATTTGGAATTACGAATTACAAAAAAATTGTAAATTAAGTCCACCAAATTTCAATACAGTGGACTCATTTTTATTTAATGGAAAACGAACATTATATCCTAAATATTTGTTAACATTGTAAAAAATTTGATATCTAAAAATCATTTAAAATTTCAACCTCTCTCTACCAATAAATCTCACATGGTTCATTTTCGTCCCATTTTTCCCCTTTACGATTTCATTTGTGGTTTTGTAACTCTTATTACGGAGAAAATGACAGGTTTGGTCTCTCCGTCGTGAGACCAAACCTGTCTCACGACGCCTTATTAAAGGACATGACCTAAATTGACTCTGATGATGGTTAGTCTGTTGTTGTTGTGTGCCGTGCCATATAAAGAACCATATGAAAGCTAAATGATTAAACAAATTAAGGTTATGCATTATTAATGAAAACTGTAAACTGAATTTTAAACGTTTAATCATGTTTTCATGATGGGCATAATGAAACAAGTCAAAAATCATGGTGAGTTTGCCAACAATAAAATGCAATTCATGTAAAGAATTATAATGGTAGTAGTAGTAGTAGTAGTAGTAGTAGAATTTATATATACAGGGTAAGGTTTCCTTCATGAAGGAAAGTGCATCCTTCTTTACGTGGTCAGGCAATGCAGAAATGCTGTCAAAGAGTTTGGTTGCGTCAATGTCGGAGGCGGTAGCAGAGGAGTGGGAAGGAGTAGTAATAGTTGATGCATTATTATTATTATTAGCACTGGCGTTTGTTGTAGTAGTAGTATAAAAGTTGGTTGTTTTCGTCGCCGCACCACCAGCTGTCACCACCGCCGTCATTGTGGAAGGCTCCTATTAGAATGGATTTTTTTTTTAAATTAATCTTTTTTGCAAGAAATTGTGTGTATTAACCTCACCATTTGACTGGCAAAGGGAGCGTACATAAATCACGTGATCGATTTTGGGACAATTTTTACCCCCTCCCCCCCCTTGGTGATCAATGGTGATAAACTCATTACCCCCCCCCCCACCGTCACGTGATAGGAGAACACACGGCTTATATCTGGAATAATATTACCATTCTGGAGTTTTTAGCCCAGATACCTTACTGATTTGCAACCTTATTATATCTTTTTTTTAAAGATTACAATTTTTAGGTATTTCAGTGAAAGAGAAAATTGTTGATATTGAAATTTTAAACATCGTTCTTCAAGTAAAAATTATCTATGTTAGAAATTTTTGGTTAAGTTTGTTAATTAAAATCCATTCTGACCAAATATGATTTTTAATTTTTGAAATTAGGCCATAATTGCAAAACTTCGAACGTTTTAAAATGCACGAAATCAGGGTAATTTTAATTTTGGTTTGAACAATTCAAAATTAGTCTGGTCGAAATCAGTGATATCCAGATCAAGTCTACGCGTTGTAAATAATTTGTATTTATTCTCGCACATAGATTAGCGGCTCTATATGTCGTCTATATATCGGCGGCGAACCTTCAAGTACATTTTGAGCCAAAATGAGAATGTTGTGAAACGTAAATTTTTGGATATTAATCATGTTCAAAAAATTAAACAACACTCTAAATAATTGTAAGAATTGTATCGAGTAATTTTTAAAAATTCAACTTTTCAAAGACTTTTAACTTTAAAAATTTAAGGCTGTTTGCATTTTCAAATTTTGAAATTCTAGAAATTCTGGACGTCTGATTTAAAATTTAAAATCTTCATAGTTTTTGGAAATGTGTTTTATAATTTCGGGGATTTTCCTTTGCTGACCTATACAACACGTATCGAAACTTCCCGGGCTTCTTTAAAAATTTATTTTATTTTTTTACTGACTGTTTCAAAATCCTCGAACCGTTCGGTTGTGAACCAAATGGGCCAGGGTACTACCTGGTGGCAGCGGTTTTCCCTTCGGGTTTTCCCGGTCTGTGTCGCAACCGTTTGGGCGAATAATTATTCTCAATATGACGATTTATTTAAAATTTATGACTATTTATTTTAAATCTATGACTATCATTAAGGTGTAAATATTCTTATTAACTTATTAGCTATAATGTTCCGGTATATAAATATTCATGTAGCGATATGGGCTGCGGCCATCGTTTGAAGAAATAAAATTGAATTGAATTGAATTGAATAATTTCGGGGATTTTGGGCAACTATGTTTATTTAGTTCTATCTGAGGTGAGCTGGATCGACTTTTTTCAAAATCCGTATGGCTCAGAAGTTTCCAAGCATACTGAGAACGATTCATTAACTTTTGAACGACTTCAAACCTTTAATACGTCTTGAACGGCTTGGAGTGCAGGTCTCTGACATGTTCTATGTGAGAGCCCTTTTCTAGGACGACAAGACGGCATCGGCGATTCCAACTA